TCGGAAGGAACTTCGTCCCAAAAATGGGAAACCGAAAGGTTCATGGCCTAGAACTACCAGTCTACTACTAGTTAGTAAACCTACGGCCATTGAGCTTGTCCACAGTTTTTCCTTAGCCAAATAAATCCACAAAGCGTTAACGGGTGTGGACCCGGGGGATGATGTTTTCAGTTTTTTTTTCCTCACAACTCCGAAACGAGTCCGTCACAGATTAACACCAAATAGAATTGGGAGACGCCAACGTTCCTATATGTACCAAGAGGAGCTTTTCTAATATGCCACTAAAAAGTTTTGTTTATGTTTAAAGTAAGAAGTAAGATCTACTTCAATTATATACCTATTTTACCTGTTCGACTTATTCATACATACACGCTCTTTAAATATATGCCCGTAACCATAAATGACGTGTTATTATCTTATGTCATGTCTACTAATATTTTGTGATTATAGGATACGTTGAAAAATTTTGTATTAAGATATTACTAATGTTTGTTGTAGAGGAAACTGTTTGATGATAAGACATTTCTCTTTTTCATCTCTAACATATAGCAACATGATCAAAGAATTGTTATACAGTTGATAGTTTTGCTTCATGGTTTACACAACGTAAACGGTTCGTCAATTGTTTTTATGAGACATTTCAAACGAATGTATACTGCGAAATGAGGTATTGGCGAGTGCGTCACTGCTCTCAGTGCTTTTTAATGTATACATGTGCAAGTTGGTTATGTCTGTCGCGACAGACGCAATGCTAGCCACTGCAAAAGTGTGGTATTTAGAGCAAGGGTTTATTTTTGTTGTCATAGTTAGCGCAAGCGAGCTCTTGGATATATTTGGGTTATTAGTGACGCAAATAGCAGTGATAAACGGGACTATTTTTGGCGCACCGCTCCCAAAAAGCTATTGTTATCAATAGATTATTAGTGTCTTTGACAAGGCTGTGCATCTGCATAATTAGAAATTAGTATGTTTGGTCGCGTATATGTTGAAGCCATGGTTGTAGTTTAACAATCGTTAAAATCTAAGCTTTTATTTTGCCGTACTTTTTAGACAAATATTCGATTTGAAATAATTTTCAATAGAAAGTATTTACGTTTAACAGTTGTTAGGTAATCAATAACAACTGTTGAAAGCAACTATTGAAAATTATTTCAAATCGAATATTTGATTATGTTTTCAACTCCTCGCCAATATAATATAATATTATTTACTTTTTAAATAAACCAATTACTCTTTGGCGACTACTACGAGTACTAAACACTTCTTTGTCACAAATAGGTTGGTAATCAAGGAAAATAAAGAGAGCAAATATACAACCTACTACAGAAAAATTAAGTTAAAAGGCAAGCAATACAGCAGACGATTTTTTTTTAAATAATTTTTAAATCTTTTGTAACATACTATCTGCAAATTACTTTTACTAAATACATACTAATTTCTATTTTTGTAACATGTTAAGTTTTTCTTAGACGTGACTAATGTTTAAGTAATATTTAATCCTAACTAGAATATAATATTAATAAAAATGCTAAGCTGTTATCGTCAGTTTGTCAGAAGTACAGAAAAATACATAGCTAAGGTACTTTTTATACAAAAATATCATTAAGAAGATTTTCTTATTGTGAACTCTAAACAATGAGAAAATTCAAAAGTAATTAATAATTAAAAATGCTACAGGTCCATTGTCAGTGCATAACGGTTTTTAAATATAGGAATACTAACGGTGTGAAGAGGTAGAAATAATAGAATAAAAACTTTTTATATCTATAAATCATCATCATCATCAGCAAACATTATTTTCTCGTTAAGACTAAAACAGTAAGAAGTAAGTAAGTCACATATGCTTCAGCACACGACTCTCTTAGTATGTAGCAAAATACACTACCATATTTTTAGGTACAGAAAAAGCCGTTAATCCTGAAGATGTGGAGAGTCAAATTATTGTATTGTCATCGGTCCTTGATAAGTATGCGAAGTTGTTTTTTAATTCGACGTTTTGAATGTCATACATATTTTCATACATTACCGTTTCATACATACATACATACCAAGCTAATAAAAGTGTTAAATGATCAGACTCATAACACAATCAAACCCACGACCTCTGGTTTAGCCGTCAAAATCACTAACAATTAGACCAACAGGTCAGTAATTGAGTGAAGTAACGAAGATACAATAAAATAGCAATCACTTCATCTAAACAACGCCATCTAAGTTACAAACGCCACCAATTATTGTTCTTAATAGCTGAACATAAGTCTAGCGTGTGTGATTTCGTTAAAACTAGCTGAGCATTAAATACTTCTTTTATACACAATACAGTCAGAAGAAGTCTTTAAAATATGTTAGTTGGTTAATCTTTTGTTTTATAAAACGTGATTGTCTCATTGTTGACAGATGAACGTGGGTGAAATGGTTTTGGCATCTTTCTCATTTCGAATAATTAGTAAACTTGCTCATAGTGCTTTGGAATTACTTTGTTTTAACTGCTCTTAAAAGTAGCTGGTCTATAAAAAAAACTCTATTTTGTTTAGCAATTCACTGATGATATTGTGTATTACAGTACACTTAAAAACTATTTACAGTAAAATTATTTAAATGGCAATACACAGTGTAACGAAAAAGGTTTCTGTTTTTGTGTGGTTTGTATCTCCAGGTTGCTTCCCGAACTTCGAGGAACCCCTCAGTTGTTCGGAATGTGGTGTTGTGAAATATCTGAGGCAAACTATATTAAACAAAACTTTGTCAATACATTAAAATTATTACACTCACATGAAGTACTACAACATCCCACGTATTAAAGAGAAAAGGAGGTAAGGTGAGGTAATATGCGACTCACTATCTAATACGTTTAGACTGATTGACTGTGGTTATCATTTACACTTACACCATACAGTAGAACATAGTCTTCAGTAATCTGGAGACGTACTGTACTACCGTATCATCATTTCTAAATATCGTTTGAAATATGCCTACATCTTTCTTCTGCCTTGCCTAAAGATTTACCTTGGATATTGTAGACATTGCTTTGGATTTCAGACTGTCTATATACCTGTCACTCACCCCAACTAAAACATTTTAAATTGAGTGAAATTATGTATTCATAATATATGGTGTCTATTCTCTGGTCCTATTGAGCGTGGGTGCTTATAAAATAAAAAGCAGCGGCTGCTAAAATCTCAAGTTTTTAGCCCCAGTGGTTTAGGATCTGCGTTGATAAATTAGTCAGTCAGTCAGTAGCAAGTAATTTTATATGCATAAATTTATATTAAAATAATAAAATTAACATAACCTATAATGATACTAAACTAAACACTTAAATTTCATCAACTTGATAATCGTATTGAGAATTTATATTAACAAGGCCTGATGATAATGCAAAACTAAAAAAAATGAAATAAATGATAATGTTTTATTAATTATTTTTACAAATTAGAAATTCGTAAATGATGTGAGAGAGACTTGTGTCTAGTCGTTGCCTAGCCGTTGCGATAGGCTGATGATGATAATGATGAAATGATTTGATGATGTCTAATGATCAATTGTTACGAATAATTCTTTGGTACCATACCAATATATACCTACTATATTTATAAAAGTAAAGTTTTTATAAATCGCTTTACACTTAAAAAATTTGTTCTGATTTTTATAACTGTTTGCTTTTGTAAAGTATGAGAGTGTTTTCTTTCTTTAATTGTAATTTATGAAACTTTTGGTTTGCCATGTATTGATAGGTTACATACAAAGCGAGAGTAAGAGTTGAGATTATTCCTGGTATTGTTGTGCAATCTGTTTTTCTCATGTTATATTATGAACGGGATACTTTCGATCACAGGGTACATAAGGTCCATAAGTTAAGTATCCACCTATGTACTGTGTATGTGTGAGTGATTAGCAGTCAGAATCACAAATAACATACTAACAGGCCCGTCAATATACATATATAGATCTATATCTAGAGGTTGTGGGTCGATTCTTACCCAGGACAAATAATGAAATGATAAGCGCGATCATCTATTATGTGTCTGGGTGTAATTTCAATATAACATGTATGTATTTAGAAATATTTAAGTAGCAGAAGTACAGTTACCATTAAACAGGCTCTGCCTGTTTTGGGTGCAGACGCCCGTTATTGTTATCTCAATTAATCGACATAGATGTCTCCTAATGCACGCCATACTCGTAGCTCGTGGTTCCCTACGTCCCGAATGCAATCTATCTAAGCTTCTTTAGTTATATACCTTACTAATACTATCTAAATATCTAGGAAATACGATATACGAATGTGATATAGTCCTTATTAATGTCTTGTACCGAATTTAAAAAGCTTATTTGAAGGTCAGGGTATACATCTTTAGTCGAGACATCGTAAGTAGATCCCACCTGTGCGTTTGTATCAGCGGGATCTGTGTTTACCTATAGACAGTAAGTAGCCTTGCCAAACGATGGCCGTGACGGCCGCAGCCGGGTGACACCAACGCGAACGCATGTATGTCTCGCACGGATGCCAGATTATATATATACGTTTATATTTATATTATATGAATATTCTTGTTATATTGGAAGGGGCTGCTGCTATCATACCGTCGTTTGACCATTTCGAGGTATTTTATTGATGTTAGAAAAATTATGAGTCGGTACACCTCAAAATGTTTGAGTATTTTGATGCTCTAAGAGGTTTTTAATGATTTATGTTGTAGGTAACCTGTTTATGTTATTTGAAATATGGGACTTACTTATGTCATTCCTTTCGAAAATATGTTGATTTGTACTTCTACTACCTAATTATTTTTAAACGAATAACAACGATTTTGAGAACATGCCTACACACCAACCACGGTTATAATAGGCAGACGTCATGTTACCTTGCCAATTAAAATTATTTTTGTAGCTCATTCCTAGGTCCCAGTGGAGCTAGTGATGGTTTGATAAAATGTTTATCGTATTTATGTTTATGTTGGTTTGACTTTGGTGTTTATATGCTCTGACGGTAAACGAACCTCGCACATTCAAGCAAATCCTTATCGGGCGCGAATGTGGCCCCATCAGCGAGCGCGAACACCGCCAGCAGTGGCGGTAACAGTGTCCACATCGCGGGCTACGGTCGGTGTGGTGGATGCCGGTCACCTTTTGGGCATACTCTCACTTCACTCACTCGCCGCCGACACATTATCGGCGAAATGAACGCGGGCACATCACTACACTAGCGAAGTCGTCCTCGTGCACCAGCTGTCGAGCGGGCTCCGCGCGTGAGTCGAGGTCCGAGAATCTACGAGCGCGGCACGATACTGCGACGAGCGGCCGTTATCGCGGCGGCGGTGGGCGGGCGCGGTCACGGGCGCAACCTTCGCTTCCGCGCGATCTCACCCTGTGACGCGACAGACACTCGACGCGAGAAAAGATCCGCTACACAACTGGCTACGCGATAAACGCGGGCGCTCGGCGTGTGCGGCGACAATGTGCTCATCATTAACTCATTAATTAATATTTTCGCGGAGCGTCTACGTCGTCTGGTACTCGCTGCGGCTCTTGACCCACGTGCCTGATTTGCAGTACTTAATTAATTTTAAAAATGACAGTCACACGAGTAATTGTAACAAAACACTCAGAAATGGCGGCGTTCTGTGCTCTGGGTAGATACGGCGTGTCGAGTTCGCGTGACAGAGCCTGCCGTGCCCAATAGTTAGACAACATTTGACTTTCGCAAATCTACTCGGAGTGACTGTAACAAAAGCGAATAAATTGCTAACAAGATATTAATTTCCAAGGGCAGGTAACCGCAGTGCTACCGTAGTTGCTTTTTGTGACATTCGGGAAATTTAATTACGGTTTTGCATCTTCCTCCTGGAACTATCGACCACTGTAATGCATAGAGCCAGACCTGACAGCGGAAACTTTATGTAATATTTCATATCTACAAACTTTCAGCTCAAACACTAATACTCGGGTATTTATGACCTCTTAGTAGTTGTCTCTCAGAACTATATGAATTGTCAGTTTGACAATAATACATAATCTGTGGAGTAAAATCACTAAATCCGGGATGGTATCAGTCATAGATAATACACTATATGAGGTAGTATCAGTCATGCTTATCAGTCCATAGTTTGCGTGCAACCAACAGGGATTTATTAAATTTGTAAGCAACGTCAGCTCCGATACACAAATAGAGTGAATCGTCGTAAGGAGACTGCGTAACAACGGCAAATTGATTCAAAACGATCAGCCTTTATCGAGCCGCACGATTTATACCATGTTTGGAATTTAATGTGCAAAACGCAATGACGTCAAGTTCCTTACTTGTGCCTTGCTGCTGCTCAGGTATTTGTTTGTATTTTTGCAGATCCAAAATGGTAAGTTATTACGGATTAAGAAAATATTTTTTTTTTTTTAAACCGAGAGGTTTTATCAGGCATTAAAGATAATAATGCAACCGCAAATATTTTGGATAGTTCTCGCGTGCTTTTGAAGTTTGTGTACCCTTATGTCCTTTTATAGCGGGGCTCATCACGCGGAGCAAAAGCTTATATCACACAAAACTCTAACATTATCTGACATATTTGGAATAATTCCAAAACAATCATTATGTACATAGTGTTCGGTGTTATATATCCGTGATAATCCTGCATCGTCCTATACAAAACCGCAATTGATATGAGGACTGGTAGTTTATTAATAAAACAACGATTCATTCGCGAAAACAACGTAACAGGCTAGCCTGTACTCAATTTATAATTCAAAATAACATGGTTTGTGTTGGGTATATTACTTATGTAGGTACGTTCTTATAGTTGATGGTCGTTTTCGGCACAAAGTTCAGCGCTTTGCAACTTCAATAAGCGCAGACCTTCATCGGTATGCCCTGAGGGTAGTTTCGGTCGTTTGAATATCATATTTGAAGAAATTCGGAATCAAAAGCTTAACTGGTAACATGCACCAGGTTTTTAGCCCAGAAGCCAGAAGCAGTATTATTTATTAAAAGTAGTGTATTGTGCTATTCGGAATAACTTAAGATTATAATTCAAAACCAAGTAAATATTGCAAACAAATACATTATCCGCTGAATTGTAATTGGTTATATAAACAATAGGTGTGGATTAACGAAGCTGGCGCACAAGAACTAAACAAATTGCGTCGTATTGAAAAAGCCTAGTTAGAGTAATGGAATAAAAAGAGGCCAAAGAAAGTTTTTTTTTAATAATTTTTGCTCTATCTACTTACTCTCAGGTAAAAAAGGCACAATAGAACAACAGGAGAATAGAATATGTTCCACTGTATTGTCTCTGCCTATTTAGTAGTACTTAGGTAGAGACAAAGTCGAGTTTCAGCCATAATTAATAAGTTTTGAATGTTTAGTTTTGAATGTTTATTTAGTACTGTACTGTTATTATATTTATTTGTATTAATATATATCTCACACACTCACACACGGCCGTCTGATCCCAAACTAGGCAGAGCCTGTACTATGGTAACTAGACCGCTGATAAACATACTTATATATTTCTAAATACATACATATTATAGATAAATTACACCCAGGCACAGAACAAATGACTTTATGACTTTATCAAGCTAGCATTTAGATTGAGTATTCAAATATCACACTCCTCTATCCTCTTTAAAAAGGGTATAAAGAAATCTCTAAACCTATTATGATATAGGGCTACTGTACATTATTAATACTTAAAAGTAGACATGGATTATTACTATAAATCATAATGAAATGATTAGTTTTAGTCACACGTTTTAACCTGTGATTGTGATTTATTCATAGATTAATTTAATCAAAATTCTTTTAAACAATTATTTAGATTTCGCGAGCCTGGCGCTAGCGTAATCATAAGTTTCAGTGGTTTTGTAAATTGGACACAAGTGTGATTAAATGATTTATAAATTATATGATTTATTACATGTGAGTGTGATTTTATTCTATCTCTACTTAAAAGTGCATACCAGTGACTCATTTTTAATATTATTCATAATGCAAGTGATGCGGTATTGTCTTCAGGTCAACTAATAAATTATATATTAAATAAAATAAATATATGAATGCGTTGAATGTATATCGAAAGGTATTAAAGTAGATAGCAGCGTGAGTCGTAGTGTTTACTTGCACTTGACAGGCTTCTCTCCGTTAGTGTTGTTAGATAACCAACTGTCACCTACTATTTTCTGCTCTGATCCGCTTTATATTGCGTACCTGTGTACTTCAATATAGATTAACCTTTCTTCTCACGGTTATATTTAAATTACTCCGACTGAATATTTAAATTCAAATGATAAATGACTGAAATGAATGACATTAGCAGTTTCAAATCTTTCAGAGCTATGCGACCCTAGAGTATACCCTTAGTGGAACTCGTTGTTTTAAAATAAGGTAGGGCAGTGTCCAAGTTGCAGATATTTGGTAAAAATATGGTCGTTAAATCGTGTGTGTGTGTGTTTCGTACTTTCTACCTTAGATGGACCGTAGGAGAATGGATGACAACGCCCACAATAGAAACCGTCACTGGAATGCATCTGAGCTGTTTTCATCATCAATTACCTGCCACAAACGGTGGAAAACACACAGGTTCTACTCGTATGCAAAAACATTATAACATTTTCAAGTAGCGATAATTTTTTCAGGTTATGTAAAACCCCCCTTGTGGCCCCTTTTAGTTTGACAAAGCCGATAAAAGCGTTTCCTTTGAGTCTAGTATAGTAATTCGAGGATTGATCCTTGAACAATATTTTTAAATATACTCGTAGCTTACTGTATCATGTTCTGTTATTGTTCTCTCATTACATTTCGGTGTTCGACCCGATTGATGGTTTGCCATTCACCTGCTTTCAGTGCGGAAGGTCCTGTGATATCTATCTGTCTGATAGAACTGGTACTTACCATGTAACGTATTTCTGCTTAGTTGGTGGTGCTTAGTGGTGTTGGTGTTGCTTTGTGTGCGTAGTGTTCTCGTCAATACCTTGATCGAATCGTATATATACCAGATACGAAATAAACAAATGCTAGTAAGTACTTATTTTTATAAACTGCTACTATCAGATGGCTCAAGTATATTGGTTTTGCCATTACGTGTTCTTAGTACAATGCGAATTTAACTCATTTTAAATAAGGACGAGGTCTGAATTTATGTTTGCAGTTATTAGTTATTTGAAATTTATTAAAGACTGGCTAGACGAGACCGCGACTCCGCTTTTCGTTTCGAATTTTCTAGAAGGTTTGAAGGTAAAGTATCGTTTCGGATATACTACCAGTTCCATGTTCGAAACAAAAAAAACGTTCACATCACTTAGAAATGGAGTGCCAACTATGCAATTGATTTAGATCTAAATGTTGTAGCGTTAAAAAATCGCGCACAGCTACGGCCGATAAAAGTCCAAACTATTAGTCGGAACACTAGCTAACGCGTAGAGAAGCTATATCTCTACAGAACGCTAAGGCTAGATATAGCCCCTAGGTTCAAAACAATCTAAAATTTCCTGGTAATTCCAGTTTGGGGGTCGCTGAAAAAGATGAGAACTTTGTTTCATATAAGACGGAACCTGCGCTTTATAAAGTGTAGGTGGTGAACCCGACTGAAATACTGTTTTGAACTGTTCTGTGATAATTCTTCTGTTAGGAGTGAGTTCATCGGTTTATGTGATATATGGCGGGGTCATGAGGTAGGGTTTAAAACCACTATTAAATGATCCTAAATCCATTGCTTTAGCAACCCCCGTTGGTTGCTAGTAGACCCTGTTGGTCTAGCGGTTAGTAAAACTGACTGCAAAGCCGGAGGTGGGTTCGATTCCCACCCAGGAAAAATAATTGTCTCATCACACAATTATTTGCTCTGTGTCTGGGCGTAATTTATCTATGATTTGTATATATTTAGAAATATATAAGTATGTTTATCAGGAGTCTGGTTACCATAGCACAGGCTCTGCCTAGTTTGGTATCAGACGGCCTTGTGTGAGATGTGTAAAGTTATTAATATTATTAATTACGCTTCTGCCGCTTAATATTTTGTGCTTCCTTGTTTAAAAGACCTATATTTACTTCATTTTGTCTTCCACTTTGCTCAGGAGGAAATTTGGATTTATTATTTATAT